GTTCTCAGGAATCCACAAGGATGACCCCACCTTGGAGTGCTGGCAGTGGTCCAGAGGGTGCCTGGATTGGTCTACTCTAGTGACCGGTCTAGTGAATACCCTAACCGTCATCATAGAGCCTTTGTCCAGTGATAGATGGAGGCAGATACAGAGATCCATGGCCAGGTGCCAGGCTGAGCTCCGGGAATCCAATTGATGAGAGAGAGGAGGGATTCTGCGGGAGGGGTACATTGAGATTATGATGGGAGGACATGCAGAGATGACCGGCCACACTAGTGGAAGCCCATGAACTGTGGACTGGTGGCTGTGGAGCCCTCATGGGACTGGACTAGGCCCTCTGGATATGGAAGACAGTTGTTTGACTCGAACTGTTTGGGGGACACCCAGGCACGGGGATGGGGATCCATCCCTGGTGTACGGGCAGGCTTTTGGGAGCCCAGTGCCTGTGGTGTGACACCTTGTGCAGCCTTGGTGCAGTGGGGAGGGGCTTGGACCTGCCTAGATTCAGTGTGCTGGGTTCTGCTGACTCCCCATGGGAGATCTTGATTTGGGGGGTGTGGGAATGTGGGGTAGCTTGGGAGGGAGGGCTGGAGGGTAGGAGGAGGGAGGAGGGATCTGTGGGTGGTATGTGGAGTGAGTAGAAAATTTCTTAATAAAGAAAAAAAAAAGAGGCAGAATGAGGCGGATCTCTGGGAGTTTGAGGCCAGCCTGATCTACAGGACGAGTTCCAGGACAGCCAGAACTAAATGGAGAAACCCTGTCTTGAAAGAAGAAGAAGAAGAAGAAGAAGAAGAAGAAGAAGAAGAAGAAGAAGAAGAAGAAGAAGAAGAAGAAGAAGAAGAAGAAGAAGAAGAAGAAGAAGAAGAAGAAGAAGAAGAAGAAAAGAAAAAGGTTTTAGAGGTTGTTCAACCTCATGAATTGTTTTCTCTCTTTTATCTCTTAGTTTTAAAGGACATTCCTAGTTAGATTTGTTCATGTTGTTTGTCCTTAAGTTTGTACTTTAAAGCAATGAACAGAAACAGACATCCCTTATATATGCAAGTAAGAACAATTCTTAAGCCTGAAATGAAAAATAAATTGCTAAAGGAATCCAATTAATTAACCAATTTCTTAATAAAAATAATAAATTAAAACAAGCAAATATCACTCAAAGGGGAGCTCGCTTTGCTCTCTGTTCTTACCAGCTGAGCACTGTTGAGTGTGAAAGCAATTTGGACCCATGGCAGTTTTTTAACAACTGGCTTAACAGGCCATCAACCCAACAGCGCCCTCTACTGGTTCTGTGGTTCATACTACGTTGGTTCTATGAGCAGGAACAAAGATTAACCTGAAGATTGAAGGAACAATTCATTTTGAAACCTGTAAGGAAAAAGGGCTTTGCTCCCTAACAACAACAAACAATGAATAATAAAAAATGGTTGTGAGTGTAATGGTGGTTGCTAGGGAAAAGCGAAGATGGAAATATGTGTTTAAGAAGAATGAAAACGCTGGGAGATTGGCTGAAGAACTAGGTGAATATACTTAACACTACTGACCTACCGTATATTTAGAAGTGGCTAAGATAATAAAAATTATGGAGTGTGCATTTTACCACAATCAGCAACAAACAAATGGGCTGGGAATGTAGTTCAATTGGCCCAGGGTTCCATCCCAAGCAACACACAAATCAGGAGTGGTAGCAAATGCCTATAATATCAGCACTTGGGAGATGGAGGCAAAGGCTAAGAGCTCAAAGTCATCCTCTAAGCTGTACTGAGATCCTGTCTCAAAAATGGGGCAAAACTCAAAACAAATATAGTTGTAGTATAAATAGTCCAGAGTAATGGGAGCAGTCTAAGCTGAGACTCTATCACCTCAAGTCAAATTTATCATAAATGAAGTCTTCCTGAATTTACTAGAAATTTTAATTCCTGTCTTTTTACCCAAACTAACACCTATTACTCTAAACTTGCTGAAATATAGCTAAGAAACAATTTAATCTCAAATTTTACACTGATATTTGGTCTTGCTCATTTGTAATAGAAATATGTGTAAAAAGATTATGAAAATGTTGATTATTTTGACAAATGATATGATCTTTAATTTGGACAATATAACAACAGCTGCACTGTACAGCTGTATGGAGGACTAACCTTCACTGAAATGCAAATGTAGAGAATAAGGTATAGGTTAATTATTTTCATTTTTATTATTATTTATGTGAGTTGGTATTTTTCCTGCACATATGTCTGTGTGAGGGTGTCAGATCCCCTAGAACTGGAGTATGAGCTGCCATGTGGGTGCTGAGAATTGAACCTGGGTCCCCTGGAAGAGCAGCTGGTGCTCTTAACCACTATGCCATCTTTCCAGCCCCCTAGATTAATTATTTTTACTGAGGAGTACCAGCTACCCAGAATACATTTGGCAATGTCTTGTGGTATTTTTGCTTATCATAACTGAAGTGTAGGAAATGCTACCCCACGTAGCCATAGTGTAGAATATTACTAAATATCCTACTGACGGGTTGCTGTCACAAAAATAATCTACCTGCAAAGGTCATCAGCATCAAGTTTCAGAAATCCTAGGCCAGAGTCTTCCGATTTTGCTCACTTTTCCATCTGCCATTATATTCCCAATTTTTAGCCAGTTCTCTTTTCTCCAAGGAAGCTAGGTAAGAAGGAGGGACTCATGGATTGCCCTGGGAGGGGAAATAGATGAGATCTCCTGGGTAAACTGGGAGCAGGGGATGGTAGAGGGGAGAGGATGGAGGATGAGAACACGAGGGAACAGGATATGAGCTAGAGGAGGGAGGCAGAGGGAGAGCAATGGAAGCGAAGTCTTCATAGAGGGGGAGACATTATGGGGTTAGGGAGAAACAAGGATGACCCCAGCTAAGACTCCTAGCAATAGTGGAGAGAGTCCCTGAACTGGTCTTCTCTTGTAATCAGATTGGTGACTACCCTAACTGTCATCATAGAGCCTTCATCCAGTAACTGATGGAAGCAGATGAAGAGATCCACAGCCAAGCACCAGGCCGAGCTCTGGGAGTCCAGTTGAAGAGAGGGAGGAGGGATTATATGAGCAAAGATGGTCAAGATCATGATGGGGAAACCTACAGAGACAGTTGAACCAAACCGGTGGGAACTCACAAACTCTAGACTGACAGCTGTGGAACCTACATGGGAGTGAACTAGGCCCTCTGCATGTGGGAGACAGTTGTGTAGCTGGGTCTGTTAGAGGGGCCCCTGGCAGTGGGATCAGGATCTATCCCTGGTGCATGAGAGGTCTTCTAGAAGGAGCCCATTCCTTATGGTGGGACACCTTGCTCAGCCTTGATGCAGTGGGGAGGGACTTGGGCCTGCCTCAACTGAATGGACCAGGCTTTGCTGACTCAGCATAGGAGGCCTTACCCTTTTGGAGGAGTTGACTGGGGTGAAGGGGATGGGGGATGGGATGAGGGGGATGGGGGATGGGGGGAGGGGGGATGGGAGAGGGGGGATGGGAGAGGGGGAATGGGGAGGGTGGACATGGATGTGAGGGGGAGGGAACAGGAGAGATGGGGGGCAACTGTGGTTGGTATGTAAAATGAAAAAAATTTAAATAAATAAAATATAAAGCAAAAAAGATTTTCTGTTTTTATTAGTAGCAATTGTTTATAGGGTAGAGTTGGGGGCCATACTGGGGGTAGGAAATGTGAAAAGGGAAATGATGTCATTAGATTTTAATTTCAGTTTTTTAATTGGAAAAAAAACCCATAGGGCCATTGAATTTTACCAAATGTCTATTTGTACCTAGTTTATGTAATAGGCTGTGCAGAGGACTTTGAGGAAGGTAGCCATCTTGGAGGTGTGAGCTAGACATGGCAAATAAGTGTTTTTAATGGACTATCCTTAATATGGTATCATTTTGCACAGAAATGATCATAACTGGAAAACGCATTCCAATAATTTAATTAATTAAATTCTACAGAGCTTGTAAGCAATACAGTTTGTTAAAAGGGGGTGCTTGTGACATGGATTGAAATTTCTCCATTAGCCGACAGTGAGGGCAGTAGTGGAAAGTGTGGTTTAGTTTGTGAACAGGCAAAGTGGCACAGATCCTAAGGTTCTTTAGTGATGCAGATCAAAGCAACTCAGAAGCCTTTTCTCAGTTTTCTCGCACCTTCTGCTTACTGTTTCTGGCTGCTTACCATATAACATAGAATATAATAACAGCACAATAGCAAGATGAGTCATTGTTTTCCATAGCCCTAAAAAGGAATAAAATGTTGCCGATTAAACGTGGAATGCCACCAGTTGTCTGTTTTCAGAGAAATCTCAGATGTTGGAATGAGAAAAAATATAGTGAGTTTTCAAAGATGACAAAAATGTAAAAATTTGAAGGAAACACAATGGTCCTGGGTTGTATGGCACATGATGATTTATTGTGTATCCATTTTCAAAAGCAGCTTGCAATTTAACACTGTAGTCAATCAGTCAACACGTTTTATATACAGTCTTTTAGATGGTTGTACCCGCTTTCATGGCTCTGTGATGTGCCAATGCAACTGCATTGTAAAACGTTTAATTTCTTTGGTTACAGCACCCCCGCGACCCTCCCACACACTCATTCATTAAGACATGCCCTGTTGGCAAGTTACAGGCAAATTGACATTTTTAAAATTAAACCGTGTAAAACTCTCCATATAGTTAATTAAACTGAGGGGGAGATGTGCTAAGGAAAAGCGTTTCATTAAATGTGCACCTTTTTTTTTTTTTTTTTTTTTTTTTTTTTTTTTTTTTTTGTTTTTCGAGACAGGGTTTCTCTGTGTAGCTTCCATTCTCGTAGAAAGGTTAAAATGGGATGGGGAACGGAGCGCTGTGGAGGCGGAGAAGGGATATACGTCTCAGGATACAGGAAATACGGTAACAGCGAAACCAGGAGGAAGCCAGCCCTGTGCCTGGAGGGGATCCGCCATCTCAGATCTCTCGGCCTTGCCAGGGCCCACCAGAGAAAACTGAAGCTCTGGTCCGGTCATACCTATGGGGGACCAACCTTGTGCCTCCGGGAGATCCACGCTCCCACCAGGCAATACACGGGAACCCAAGCCTCCAAAAAAGCGCTGTGTCCTGGCTCCGCGGTGGGATTATCCAGAAGGGACTCCCAGTGGAGGTGGTACCACTCTCCCCTCGGCGCCTCCTCCTGCATCTGCTGGACTGAAGTCGCACCCTCCTCCTCCGGAGAAGTAGTGAAATAGATTTTTCCCAGCCTAAATCAGGTCAGATACATTCTTTCTCATCTGGGACATCCAGGCTCTCTGAAACTTAATTATGCTTTCCCCAAGCTCTTCCCCCCTTTCCTGCTCTTTCCACAGATTCAAAAGAGAGACAGAAAGAGAGAGAGAGAGAAAGAGAGAGAGAGAGAGAGAGAGAGAGAGAGAGAGAGAGAACGGATAGGCGTTGAATGGCTCTTTTTCAAAGTATGCTTGGATGAAATGGGTATTTGATTACATTGAGTAATTAAGATGTTTTACATGAGATAACTGTAATTTTTAAAATAAACTGCAGTATTTGGATGTTGGTGATAGGCCATAGTGTAGGGAGATACTAACAAAATGTTCACTGGTTAATAAACTGAAATTGGATGGGGACTTACCATACTACTCTCTCTACTTTTGTGTATATTGGAGATTTTTTCCATTTGAAAATGCTTAGTTCAAGACCAAGGGCAAAGATGTGCCTAAGGCCTAAGGCCTGTGCCCAGGGGCAATTATAAGGTGAGCTTTGAGAACTAGGGTTTTTTTTCTATGTAAAATGGGATTTCATAAGGGAAAACAAAATTTACAAAATGATGGTCAAACCCAAGTGCTTGTTCAAGGTGTTCAGGAATCATGGATGGACCAAGGCACTGCTTGTTAGTAGCAGAGAGCCATCAAAGAGGAAGGGAGAACTTTGGGTCGGCCTTAAAGGGTGAGTGACATCTGCCATATGAGATGGAATGTTTTTTAGGCCTAGTAATGAAAGCCCGAGGGCAGGCTTGCTCTGAGGCAGCTTGCCTGTAATTCTGAATCTGTGAAAGAGAGGAGATTCAGGGCCGTAGGCCTTGACTGTTTGCTAAGGGAGTACGCAGCTTATTCTCGAAGCATGAATACCATAGGTGATTTCCAAACAGGCACTGTTTGTGTTTTAAGACTCCCATACTTTCAGGAAATCAAAAGCCTGTTAATGAGCCTTAGAGAATGTAAAAGGAAAAAAAAAAAAACCACCAAGTTTGACTCAAGTCTCATAATGCCTTCTTCATCTCCTACGTTTATGGAGGCCTTGCTGTGGTTAGGCCTTGCGCAGGGAGGTGTGGAGACACATGACTAAGGCACAGTGGCTGTTGCGCAGCAGGAGTGAAATTGGCATTTGAGCAAGTCATGAATAACATTGGCAACCGTGGATCTTCTGGGTATCTAAAGCATAGAACAGGAAGGAGCTCCATTTCACCTCAAAGCAAGTGATTGTTATTCCATAGGCCCTTTCTCCCCTCGCTTTTTACCTCGATTCAAAGGCAAAATGTGGTAATGCTGGCTGCTGGGAGACAAATGCTCACCTAGAAAACAAAGGAAGCCATTCAGGGCCAGAAGTGCTCCTCTAGAGCTCCGTCATTTCTCCCCAGTGATTTCAATCATGGAAAACTGCAATGGTGAATACTTAGTGAAATTTTGTTGTGTGCCATATTTTTTCTAAAGGGTTTTGGCATATTTGAATTGAATCACAAATCCACCAAAGGATGTTTGTATAGGCCAATAAGTTCCCAAGTTACTACAAGTTGTGAGACACTAAGTGTCCATGTTGAGATTTGATTACAAAGAAAATGCTTGGTTCTAGAAACTCGATGTTCTACGGGGCTGTGCAGAACATACCTCCTTACACTGTGTACCCAACTGTTTAAAAGGAAGGTGCCATTGCCTTGGGAACTGAGAGGAACACAAGGAACTGGAAAGGCCAAGGCAAATGAGTCAGCCTGAGTGTGCTAGAAGAAGGGATGACATCACCTTGCTGTACTGTTTTTCAGTCTTTGACAGGTTGCAGTATGACGTCATTTCCTTGGTGCATTTGTAAAATACTTCACCCACTGAAGACCATGACTCTTTCCAATGCTACCCTGCTTTTGCTGGTGACCTGCACCTGGAAGTTGTGATGCTAAAGGTAATCTTTTTTGTTTTGTTTTCTTTCCTAAAAACACATGTAAAGGAAGTAGAAAGAAATTGATAATGGCAAGTTCAAAACAACCAGACAAAACCCAAAAAGCTAGCATTAATGATAAAATTGAAATATTTTCTATATTATACGAAACCATATGCACCAAAAAATAGCCACATAAATCTGCAAGGCACTTTAGTAAATTTACTGCAGATTATAGTTTCTGTCATTACTGCGAAATGAGTCTTTTTAAACCCCATTTTCTAGTAAAGGGGAAAATGACTTGTACTTTTGTATCAATTTTATAACATGCATCCTTTCTGAATTATTTTTTCTAGTGATTTATGGATTATCTTGGGCTATTTTTTAATTATATTGTATTGGCACTATCTTCTTTACCAACATATATATTTTAGTTTGTCCACGAAAAAAAAATTTTTGGTGTTTCAAGTCAGGTTTTCTCTGTGTAGCAGCCCTGGCTGTCCGCGGACTCACTCTGTAGACCAGGGTGGCCCTGAACTCACAGAGATCTTCCTGCCTCTGCCTCCTGAGTGCTGAGATTAAGGGCATGGGCCACCACCACCCAGCCAAAAATTAGTTAGTATTTGTAGTTTGCTGAGAGGATGTGAATGTGTATGAAGGTTTTTTTTTTTACACCAAATATTTTATCTGTATCTACTTGCATAAGCATATTTTGCCTAGTCATATGACATCACAAGAATGTGATAAGTTACAATAACTTTAACGAATCTCCTTATTTTGGTTTTAACAAGGCTTCTTCATTTGGGGGATTGAGGGTAGGGCAGAGATTAGCTTCCTGTATTGGTCTTCAGGAATCATTCACTTTTTTGGTCTTTTTGTGTTTTGTTTTGTTTTTTGAGACCTGATGAGGATAGGCTGGCTGGTCCATGAGCCCAGGTGACCAGTGTCCCCACCTCCCCAGCACTGGGGTTACAGGCCTGGCCAGCACGCCCAACTTTTATTTAGGTGCCAGACATAGGATTTAGGTCTGTGTGCTTGAATAGCCAGTTTGCTTACTGGGCCTTTGCTCCAGTTCTGCTTTCTCTTTTAATTATTTTTATCTATATTTCTCTTTCTTCTAGTTCCCTTTCATTCATTCATTTTCTAATTTAGTGAGTTGAATGCTAGCTCATTAATATTTCTTTTCTAAAATAAAAGGTGAAAACTACAAATTATTATTCTCTACCAGTTTGTAAGAATGTCACAGGTTTATGTATATTATTTTGTTATTATACTAAACAATTATCGCTTTATAATGTCTTGAATGATTTTTTAATTTGGCCATTGTATATGTATGGGTGTTTTGCCTGCATATATGTCTTTGCCATGTGTATGCCTGGTGCCTTGGGATGTCAGAAGACAGTATCAGATCCCCTGGAGCTGGAATTACAGATGGCTGTGAGCTGCCACATGGACCCTGGGAACTGTATCCCATCCACTGGAAGAGCAACAGGTGCTGTTAACCGCTGAGCCATCTCTCCAGCCCCAGCCTATGACATTTTAGTTTTGCTTTTTAAACTTTCAGTTATTTATGCATTCTTTTAAAAATTGTATTTTGAAACCATTAACTAAGCTACAAATTAAAATTTATTTTCTCCCACTTTAAAGTATTTTTTAATCCTTCTTGCAACAACAGCAAAAAATAAATTTATATACGTGCTATACACCTCAATAGAATTTGCTAATATAAAACTTTTTTTGCCAGGTATGGTGGCACATACCTTTAATTCCAGTACCCAGGAGGCAGAGACAGGTGGATCTCTATGAGTTTGAGGCCAGTCTAGTCTACATAGTGAGTCAGGCCAGCCTGGGCTACATAGTGACATCTTATCAACAAACAAAACAAAACTGAAAGCTTTTTTTTCATAAATACAAAGATCATAGTTAGGATGCTTATTAATATTTAAGTTCATGTTTAAACTATAAGGATATTATAAAAACAAAACTTCCCATACCCCTTATCCACATTTATCAACTAGTATTTTGCCACATTTGCCCTACCATTCACTTTCATTTTGCCATCAAAAGGAATTTGCAGCTGTATTTCTGCTTTCCTTCTTAATACTTCCCTGTGTTTACTTGGAATAAATACGTTTTCATGTGTTACCTGTTTTTTACTTTTTCTTGTTGGAAGTTGCAATCCAGGATATTGTATGAGACATAGTTTGTGTGTGTTTGTCTGTCTAGTCTTTGATCAGGAAGTTTCTTCAATTCTTCAGTCTTCTTTGTCTTTGCTGACATTGACAATTTTTCAAAATATAAGACAATTATTTTGTAGAAGGCTCCTCAATTGAGGTGTGTGTATCATTTCCTTCTTTTTATATTTTGATGATGTATGTTGGCAGGAAGACCACAGAATTCATAGTAAATTTTTCTCTGGGCATCATTGTAGCTTGCTCATGAGGCAGATGCTAATCAACATTGGCTTCTTGCTTAAGTTGCTGGGATTTTGTTAGATTAACCCATTGTTTTCTCTTTACAGTCAATAATTTTGCTGTGAATACTTGGAGATTGTACAACTTTTCTGTTTCTCATCAAACTATCTTCTAGTAGTTTTTGCATCTGTTGATTATTCTTGACTAAATGTTTTTACTATGGTGACTACAGAATAATACATTTCAAGCTCCATCATTTTTACTGCATTCACTAGTTTATGTTCTACTTGAAGAGAAAGCTTTTTCTCCATTTACTTATTTATTATATTTAGACACCTAAATTTTGGAGTTATTTCATAAATAGCCTGTTGCTACCATAATTATTTTATTCAGTTTGTCTTCTCCACCCTTGGGCATGTTCACCATTCTCTGACATATGTTTAGACTTATTTTAACATTTCTTTTCTTCCTTACTTTCAGGCTCATCTTATATTTTCTACCCCATTGACCATTTCACTATTTGACTGTGCTACTGGGAGATCGTATTTGCAAACTGAGGTGTGGATCTATAGATCTTTTTATCTTTTATTATTTCACATTTAATTTCAGAGTACAAACATTGTTTCATATTTGTTCAAATTTGCCTTATGTCTTAGAAAACATAACAATTGCTAATTCTTGGGTGTTGGTAAAGGGATTGTATATTCCACCTTTTATATATAGAGGTCTATACATATCTGATAAATGTGTTATCATGTATAAATCTTCTATATCCCTAGTAAAGTCTAGGATACATCTTTTATCATTTTTGTGACCCTTTTCTTAAAACTTTCCTTAAAATCTATTTTGTTTGCTATTAATACATTACAGCAAGGTTCCATTGTGGCGATGGTGTTTCTTTGTCAGTTCTTCAATCTCGCCATCTTTCTGTTGAGATAGGGTCTCTCCATGTAGCCCTGGGTGGCCTGGAACTCACAGAGATCCACCTGCCTCTTGCCTTCTGAGTGCTGGGATTAAAGGCGTGCGCCACCACACCCTGCTCCCCTCCAGTTTTTGCTATATATTGTGTTTTCTTGCATTCTTTAGTTTACTGTGAATTTAGGGCTCACAATAACAACTTTATTATATTACATTGCTGTAGATTAGAAGTCTGGTATAGTTTTCACCTGGTTAAATGAAGTGCTGGCCAGCTGCATTTTTCCCAGAGACTCCAGAGAATTTGTTCTCTGCTCCTTAGGTTGTTGGTAGGATTGCATTCCTCACAAAGGTAAGAGTGAGACTCCCATTTTCTTGATGGATGGTGGCTGATGGGTGATTCCAGCTTTTAAAAGCCCTTCATTTGTGATCCTCTTTCATTGTCTTCAAAACCAACTATAAGTTGAATTCCTCTCACACTTAAAACTTCTCCATTTCCTATTCTCATCTATCCTCTCTCTGACTCAGGTAGAAAAAGGATTTCTATGTTTAAATATACATTCAGTCAAAGTATGCCACCCAGTTAATCCAGAGGAAATTCTTCTGTCTTGAAATCTATATTTGAAATTATATCAGCAGAGTTCTTTTACCTTGTAAAGTGATATAGTCGTCAGTCCTGGGAATTATGATGTGAACTCCTTTACATACCTATTATTCAGCTTTTCACACATTCCATTATAGTCGCTAACCATAACCATAACTCAGTGTTTGATAATCCATTCTTTCATTCAACTAGCAGAAATATTTTTAAAAACGTATATTAAAGCGAACATCTGTTGTATTACAGACATTGTACCAGGTGCCCATACTGCAAAAATAAGATGTCTAAGTCACCCACTAAAGGCATAAACCAGTTTGGTAAGTTCTGTAGGAATTAGCACATTAAGCTGTGTAAGAGAATGCAAGAGGCTGTACTACCTAGATTAGAAGTACCAAGATGGGTTTTTGTGTGGATCGATGTCTGTGCTGGGTCTTGAAAAGTACTCTTGGGTATTACAGCGGGGAAATCTGTTAGTTTTCTGTTGCTGTGATAAAACGCCATGACCAACAACAACCTGAGGAAGAAAGGGTTTGTTTTGCTTTAAGGTTCTGGAAAGACAGCCCGTAATGGTGAGGAAGGCACGTCAGCAGGCAACTGGAGCAGGAGGCTGGCTGATCACGTTTTATCCAGACACAGGAAGCAGAGAGAGAGCTCGCAGGAAGTGGGGCAAGGCTATAAGCCCCCAATGGTCACCCCCAGTTACTTGCTTCCTCCAGAAAGGCTCCACCTCATAAAGGCTCCATGGCATTTCCTGAAACCCAAACTCTCAAGCCCCAGTCCAGCCCCAGCCTCCCCGAGTTGCTGGGATTACAGGCATGTGCTGTCACATCCATAACATTTCCTAACAGCATCAACCAGCTGGGAATCGAGTGTCAAACACAGGCGACATTTCTCATTCAAAACGTCATAAGGGCAAGTAGAGGATATTTCAAGGAGCGAGACTTGAATGACCAAAAGTACAGAGCACAAGACAGCCTACATTTTTAGAGGGTACAGATAGTAGTAGCTAGATCTGCAAGTCATGTAACTTCCTGAGATATAGAGTTAACCTGTCGAGTAATGTGGAGCATGAATATGAAGACTTTGTGTTCTTTACTAAAACGTTTCCAGGTAAATCAATAAGAAACATAAAGTCATTCAAAACTTTTAAGAAAGCCAAATGTGGTGGCACACTCCTTTAATCTCAGCACTTGGAAGGTAGAGGCAGATGGATCCCTGTGAGTTCAAGATGAAACTGGTCTACATAGCAAAGTCCAGGCTAGCAAGGGCCACACAGTCAGAGCCTGCTCTGAAAAAACTTTTAAGGAAAGTGTTATGCTCATATTTATATTTTATATACATCATACAAATCTTCATGTGGAAGATAGCATAGGAAGATATTGGATTGAAAGATAGTTAATAATGTGAAAATCCTTCAAGTAAAAAATAGTCACTGATAGTTGGACGAAGTTAGAGAAATGGATTAAGAAAGATTTATGCAATATTGATCAGATGTTATATTAATCAACGATTAGCCTGTGAAACATAATTAGTAGGAAATATGTAATAAGAAATGGGGATCATTGTTTGAATAACTGGATTTTTGTTTTGTTTTGTTTTTTGTTTTTCCAGACAGGGTTTCTCTGTGTAGTTTTGGTGCCTGTCCTGGATCTTGCTCTGTAGACCAGGCTGGCCTCGAACTCACAGAGATTCACCTGGCTCTGCCTTCCGAGTGCTGGGATTAAGGCGTGCACCACCACCGCCTGCCCATAACTGCGGATTCTAACCTAGCCAAGCTAAGTTGACAAACGTTCATGACAGATAAGAGTTCTAGATAAAGGAAGGCAATTCTCAAGTTTCTGGATTTAGTATTATGTGAAGTCACTGTCTGAGAGACAGAATGCAATTCATGGGATAGTTTTCACTCTTTTGAGTAAGCTAGCTAGGTGGAGATTCCTGGCAAGCTGATAAAGATCTGAGATGACAAGAGAAGTTTTGATAGCTAGGTTAAAAACTGCTATCAAGAGTGACAATTCAAGTCAAGGGAGCGAATGAGACACTCTAAAACACAAATGCATATAGAAAACTGAATACAACTCTAGGACCACCGACATTTCAAGAGTCCTAGAGAAAGATGAACAAAGGGGAAGTAGAGGAGAGATCCTGGCAGAGTTTGCTGTCAGATTTTAAAGGAAATTCAGAAAGCAACTGTCAGATGTGACAAATGGTTTAATATTGAAAAATTATTACTGTTGCCTTTCATTTTTGACACAGCCTCGAGAATGGTATCTCTCAAAGAAAATCTTTAATGATTTCCTTATATCTACAATAAAATATTATTAAATGGCTTGTAAGATAACATATGGCATATCGCTTAAGCCTGATATATTACCATTAACCTCTCTGTCTTATACCAACTGAACAAAAGCCTTTCGTTGAATTTTTTTTTTCCCTGAGACAGGGTTTCTCTGTGTAGTTTTTTTTGTTTTTTTTTTTTTTTTTTGGTTTTTCGAGACAGGGTTTCTCTGTGTAGCTTTGTGCCTTTCCTGGAACTCACTTTGTAGACCAGGCTGGCCTCGAACTCACAGAGATCCGCCTGCCTCTGCCTCCCAAGTGCTGGGATTAAAGGTGTGCTGCTGCCACCACCCGGTGGATTTTTTTAAAAAAAAGATTTATTTGTTGTGTATACATTGTTCTGCGTGCATGTATGCCTGCAGGCCATGAGAGGGCACCAGATCTCATTATGAACAGTTGTGAGCCACCATGGGGATGTTGGGAATTGAATTCAGAACCTCTGGAAAAGCAGCCAGTGCTCTTAACCACTAAACCATCTCTCCAGCTTTTCGTTGGATTTCTTTTTTCTTTCTTTCTTTTTTTTTCTTTTTTGGTTGTTCAAGACAGGGATTCTCTTTATGGCATTGGCTATCCTGCCTGGAACTGGCTTTGTAGACTAGGTTGGCCTTCAGCTGCCCGGCTTCATTGAATTTCTTATCCCACTATGATTCTCTTGAATTTACTGTTACTTCAGGCTCATTTCATATTACCTTTGGAACTCTGACATCTCTGCGGTCTGCCTTACAGACTTGCTTATCTGTCATGGCCTCAGGAGATTTTACCCTAATTCCCTGAACTCTGCTTCAAGAACCAATTATTTATTTATTGCATCGTTGTAATTATTGTTATTTCTGATCCCAGGGTTTGTATTTGTTTGCACACATCAGATATCAAAAGAGTAGACACACTGAAATCTCAGTGTCACTCAATTCCATCTGTGGATTGTGAAAGACCAGTGGTGTGGACAACAGAATTGTGCTGGTTCTGCTTGTCCCCCACCCCTTGTATTGAAAATAGACTCACACAGTATCTCCTGATTACAGTTTCCCCGCCCTCTACTCCTCTCAGTGCCTCCCCACCTGCCATCTCAGCCAGATCCACCCCCTTTCTGTCTCTCATTAGAAAAGAACAGGCGTGTAAGAGATAACAACCAAACATGACAAAATAAAATACAATAAGGTAAAACAAAGCTGTCACATCAGAGTTGGACAAGAGAAACCAGCAGAAGGAAAAGAGCCCAAGAGAAGGCACAAGAATCTGAGACCCACAAGTTCACACACTCAGGAGTCCCACAAAAACATTAAACTGAAAGCTGTATGGTACATGCAGAGGACCTGGATAGACCCATGCATGCCCTGTGCATGCTGCTTCAGTGAGTTCATATGAGCTTTGCTTAGTTGATTTAGAGGGCCATGTTCTCCTGGTGTCTTTCTGCATCCTCTTTTCATGGGGTTCCCTGAGCTGTGAGGGAGGGATTTGATGGAGACATCCTATTTAGAGCTGTGTGTTCAAAGGCTTTTCTCTATGTCTGTCTGTCTGTCTCTCTGTAATGTCTCGCTGTGGGTCTCTGTATTTGTTCCCATCTGCTGCAGGAGGAAGCTTCTCTGATGATGGCTGAGTAAGGCACTGATCTATGAGTATAGCAAGATAGCATAAGAGCAGTAGAAGAGGTCCCATGGAAATCCCTAAACAATCCAGGCTGTTGCAAAGACAATAAATTGCTCTCCACAAACAGACAGTGGGGCCCGTTGCTGAAGGCAGCACCCACACAACTCATTGAACACAGAGAGGTCTAGCTGGTACCTACACAGAACCTTCACCCCTATATTCTAGTGTCTTTGGTGCAGGAAGGTGCTCCACAGGCCACCAAAAGAGAAACATAAACACCATCCCAGCCACAAAACCTTGATCTACAATCTGTCCTGGCTTCAAGATACGCTAGGGCAAACATTCGTGTCATAGAGCTTGTGGGATTAACCAACCAATGTCTGCTTTGACTTAAGGCCCACTCCATGAGATGGAACCCATATACAATACTTCATGGGTGACCAAGAACCTGAACTAGATAGCCTAGAGACCTAGGGTCAAAGCAAATACAACTTTTTTCTAATTACACTGAAATGCACAGTTGGCCTTGGGGCCATAGCAATCTCTGTCCCATTGCACCATGCTCATGAGAGAACAAGGGTGAAATGCAGATTCATCTTTCCCTGTCTTTAGGTATTTCAGGCCTACAGCTGGATCAACGCCCTTGTACTTATTAGAGGGACATCGCATCAACAAGAGGCCTTTTGGTATTATGCCCCTTACCAGGGAGGAGGGTGTTTCGATTGTCTTTTCACTACATCTGTGAGTTACCACCCATTAAAAAGCTCTGGGACTGGATCCAGGAAACATCCACTCAGCATGAGTTGACCAAGTCTTCCCCCTGTTCACCTCTCTTATCCCGTTCTTTCCCTTTCTGGCCCATACTTATCTCTGCCTTTCCTGCTACGATTAGGGACCCTTAATTGGTCAGAGAACAGAACAGGGCAGAGAAAATGTTCTAAAGAGAGATCTTGGGTCTTTGAGGTAGGGACCTCTGGGCTCTAGTGAAGGTCAGTCCACCCTTTGCAGAGTTAGACATGAGTGAGCTGCCTGGTGCTCATATAAGAGACACTCCTGCCTTCCACCCTGTGGATGCCTGGCTGTTTGGTTGGCTCAGCCCAAGGTGGTATGACCTACAGCTGACTTCACAGGCCTAGAAGGAAACAATGCTGCAGCAAGATTATGATCAAGCCAGTACTGTGACCAGCACTTCATGTTGTAGACAGCTGAACTACGACTTGAGTCTTCCTATGGGGTCACAGTGTGTCTTTTAAATCTTTGAACTATTTTCTTCTTCTAAGAGCAGGAGCCAAGGAAAATTGAGAAAGCCAGAGGTGGGCGGGGGGGGGGGGGGGGGGGGGGGGGGGGGGGGGGGGGGGGGGGGGGAGTCAAGCTGCTGCCTGAACAGGATTCCTCTAGGCCCTAGTTTCTCAGCCCCTTGCTCAAATACTTTCTTGGTCTTTCCAGGACCACATCAATAGATGGACAGGGAAAGAGTTCTAGCTGTGATCTGTGGCCATCCAGAGGGAAGGGTAAGTGGGGCGAATCAAGTACACAAGCTGGTGGAAACCCATGAGTGGCAAGTGAAGAGTAAGTGCCAGCACATGTCTCCTGGCTGGCACCTTAACTGCGCTTGTCACAGGAAGGAAAGACACCTTGCTTCCGGTGCTTAGGAGCACTCTGAGAAGGAAGAGGCAGGCATGCTGATAGGTTCCCACTGGCAGAGGCCTGGAAGTGCCAAGTACAAATGCCTCACCACTATAACCTCTCCCGTGTTCCTGGGAGGAAAGGAGCTACCTGGTCTAACATGCCCGTAGCTCTCAGAACTGGGTACACTGCTGATCTTCAAAAAGGATACCAGTATCAATGGCTCCAGTGCCTACGTCACTGGCCAATGGCCATACCCCAAACGATTTCATTTTAAGTTTCATTGGCCTCCAGGCTCCTACCTGTGTTGCCCCAGGGCTTCTGGAGTGCCTACTGTCCCCGTGGGCCACACTGGTGTGCTGGCTTCTCTTTGGGTGGTGCCTCTGACTCACGATGAGAGATCTGACTTGGCCTGAGTCTACTCAACCTAGCTGTCCTTGTTCACTCCCATGCCTGATGTCTGGTATTTGGCAGAAAGCAAGTATCACTGCCTGAGCCTTTTAGATACCATTTCCACTGGGTGGCAAATGGCAGTTACCCCTTTCTTTATGCACAACAAGAACATTCACCTCTGTTAGTCTCAGTTGATCTGAGTCTTCTGGGTGGAGGCTAAGGTAAGATTTATAGGGCAGTACCTTTGGAGTTAATGGGTCTCTATAACACTAAGTGCATATAGAATACTATGCCACACAATGCTGGCATTCTCTTCAATATGACCAACACTGTCTTTTCACTTGTACCTCCCTAGAAGCGTAGGCCACTCTGGAAATGCACAGAGCTTCTTGATGAATTTGAAAGTTGTCCTCTCAATGCATTCCAGCACTTTTCTGTGGGCTGGGTTGAGAAATAAGCTTTCTGTGATTCTTTAGTGGAGGTAAAACAACAGTTAAACACGCCGAGACCAAAACCAAACTCACCAACAGGAGCCAATGTCTGTCATTCATCAACTACTGGGGAACTTTTCCTAAGCTGTGTTAGCTGCAAGGCCACCACTTCAGCTGTGAGAGACACGAGGAGGGGGAAGAAGTGCAGAGATCTAGACGAGCAAGGAGTGGGATTCCCCCTTTCAAAGTCACACCTTCTCTTTAACTGTGATCTCTCTGCATCTTTTTATGGCTTTTGTCCCACTTTTCCAAAGCATACCAAAGTGTGCATCTTTTCTATTTCTTTCATTCCTTATATTTTGTGTGCACTGACACTTTTTCTATTTGAGGAATGAATTACTTTTTCTAGTTTGTCCATATTGCCTGTAGAAGTTGACATTTACTTGGTACGAGTGAAAGTTTTTCCCTCATATATCAGCCACAATGTGTTTCTTAACACTTTGTCTTTGCTTGTTTTCTGTATTGCTTTTCTAGGGATTATTGGTTTGCAAATGTATAGACATTTTGAAAAACAAAACAAATAATAAAATATTAGTGCATAAAACACTGCATCATAGATTAAGCATATAGTTCATTGATAGAAAATATTCCTATCTTGTATGAGTCCCTGGATTTGCTTCACAGCACCACAAAGCTTCCTAAAAATAAATATAAGACCCAGTGTATAATATTGCAAAATGTTATATTTGGATAGAAAATTTAAATCTGGCAGATTAGTGTTACTTTTACTAAGACCTCCTATGGAATTTTAAGTATAATTTCTTTTAGATAGCATCTTGCTTTGGAGTCTAGGCTTGTCTGGAACTCGATACAGTGGGTTGGTTTCAGACTCCTGATCCAATTATATTTACCTCCCAAGTGCTAGGATTCCAGTCATGTGTCACCACCACACCCTGCTTATAATTCATTTTTGGAAATGAAATACCAGATTTAAAAGAGCTAAAGGTAAATTATTTTTAAAATGTTTATATAACCTCATAATTGTGCTGATGCATAACTATCAAATACGTTTATTTCATGTTTCATAAACCTAAAGTATAAGAACTACTAGTTCTGTCTGAGGTCTGTCTAAAACATGTAGAGACTGGATTATTATACCTATTTTAAAAGAGCACAGTTGGCCCTCCATCAAAGGCTCTGTGTTGGTGAATTCATTTAGCTCCAGTTCCAGATCAACAATGTTCCTTTGTCGTTGTGGTTGTCCTATACCATACTAGTGAATCTATGACTGTTTTGCTGGTAGACTTTTCTTTATATGACCACTTAAACAATATAACAACTATTTACATAGCATTTATATTGTTTTAGGCATTGCAAGTAGTCTATGATATTTATATATGAGAGTGTAAGCATACATGCCATTTATATGGAAATATGATGTCATTTTATATAAGAGAGTTAAGTATCAACATAGTTTGGGATCCATTTCCTGGCAGATACTTGGGGAATCTTGAAATTTGGTTTGCCTCATAATCCAACAGGCTGAGAATATATTTGGATATTTATGAAAACAATTGGAGCCTGGCAGTGGTGGGCATGCCTTTAATCCCAGCAGTCAGGAGGCAGAGGCAGGCGGATCTCTTGAGTTTGAGGCCAGCCTGGTCTACAGAGTGAGTTCCAGGACAGCCAGGGCTGTACAGAGAAACCCTGTCTCAAAAAACAAACAAAAAAAGAAAACAATTGGAACACTCAATGCCCTTCATTTGGAGAACTATTGATTAAGTTGTAGAATCTTGTGACATACTATTACACACATTTTCAGAAGAGCATATTAAATCTATAACGTATATTAAATATGAAATGCTAAATAATGAAAACATTGCATAATAATGTATATTATATAAACTCATCTAAAATGAGTAGCAAATGGAAAACCTACATATTGGTCAATATATCTGTTTATGATGATTATTAAAAAAGTGGAGCATGTACTCTGGACTACATCTGCCAACCTACAGAGGCTGGAAATGGGGCTTATTGGAAAAAATTACTAAACTTTTTCTTTCTCTTGTTTTTTTAGACACAGGGTCTCATTTAGCGCAGGCTGGCTTTGAACTACTAATTATCTTGTCTCTACTTCCCAAATGATGAGATTACAGGCATGTATGCACCACTACACCCAGCTTCTATTCTTGTCTTTATACATTTTATATTTTATCCCTTACTACTACACCTATCTTGAAATAATTTTTATCAAACTTTCAAGCTTATATATAAAGAAAGAAATTATAGACAAACATGGAGACGGTTGATGTACGCTGTAGTTACATTAGTGCACGCATATAAATGTGTATAATGGATAATTCATCAATTACCTCTAATAACAGATCAAACAGTCCTGCCTTTTAGTACAAAAACATGATTTTAAAAAGTAGTCAAAGAATGGGCAGGTCATGGAAGACAAAATGTATATGGCCAACCACAATGAATGACTTTGTGCATTCTTTACTGGAAGTCAAACAACAGTTGAATCAGTTGAAATGAAAACTAAAGATACAAAGATGAGCCACCTCCGTTCTGTCATAAATCAACTATTGTGAAACTTCTAGTTTGTACTAACTATATCAATACCATTCAACAAAGGAATGATTAAAGAAATTAACATTGTCATATAGAGCAATCTTGTGAGACCAATAAAATATTGAGGTATGTCAATTTCATAAAGAATGCTCATTAAGTGTGCTTGGTGGGCCTGGTGGTATACACCCATAATCCCAGTTCTTGGGAAACAGAGACAGGAGGGAAATCCCCAATTTTACAAATTCACTGTTAGTTCTTTCAATTTGTAGTAGTCAAAATTCTTGGGAGATGGCTCAGTGGGTAATGCGCTTGCTGCATGAGTGTGAAGCCCTGAGTTCAAATCCCCATAAACCAGCTAAAACTGGGTGTGGAACCACACATCTGTAATCCCAGCACTCCTACAGCAAGATGGGAGGTCAAACAGGAGACTCCTTGGAAGCTTGCGGGCCAGCTAGCCTGGCATCCGCTCCTGAGAACAGCAAAGAGACCCTGGGTCAGACAAGGTGGAAGGTGAGAACCAACGCCCGAGATTATCCACATGCATGTCATGAAACATGTACACTCACACGTGAATGCACACACACACACACACACACACACACACACACACACCCTATAAACACACAAAAAGATCAATTCTCCATAATCCTCACTTTTATAAATGATAGTGCTAAATACATAATATGTGAGTCATACAATGAAGACATAAGCATTTGGAGTATTTTAGCAGCATCAACATTTTTACAGGTATGTATTTTGACCTGTTTCATTTCTGGAGTTTATGAAAGTGATCCTACATATGAATAAATCAATTTAATTGTTTTTCATAGTAGAAGTTGCAATCACACTCAATGCCGTTCAGCAGAGGAATAATTTAATAGATAATATTATCATATAATATAGTATTATGAGACAACTGAAATAATGAGGTGAGTCAATTTTTATAAAGAAATCTCATTCAAGGAGTGGGGCATGGTGCTACACACCCATAATCCCTGAACTTGGGAAACAGGCAGGAGGGAAATTATGAGTTTGAGACTAGCCCGAGACTAGCCCTGACTGTACAGAGATAGTGAGATACAAAAAGAAAGAAAAAACCATATAAATGGAAGATCTAATTCATATCCCAAACTGCAAATCTAAAATATTTTATTGTAACCACCATCTGTGTATACATATATACGAAGGCATAGACAATGCTAAAGAAGTAATTGATGCTGATGTTTGCATCTAGAGGCAGAGGGAAGACTGAGGAATGGCAAAGGTCTGGTGACAAGAGGGCTTTTATCTATGTTATTTAAGTTAAGTTTGACTAGATATCTAAAGAATGTAAGAGTTAGTCATGGGCAATGAAGCAACAAGGGCCCAGGGGATGGAGGATGATCCACAGAAAAGCAAGAGCCGCTGAATTCTGGGAGAAAATTACACTAAGGGGAGCAGGAACAGCTGATCTAGTTGACATGAAAGCCCTCTTTGCATTCAGATGCATTAGGTACCAACCACTAGCAGATTATTAGTATCCTATGATCTGTTTCTCCCATAATCTGCTTAGAAGGGAATTTGAAGTATTGCCTTCTGAACACGTGTATTTGATCTGTATAATTGCATTTCTCATTGTAAATGAATATCCTTCTCTTTTTATATCTTTCAGTATTATGATGTAATGACTGTGATTTCACCTCCAGAATTTGGATGAATTTAGGACGTGGGCAAGATCGGGTTGTAGACTTCTAGGACTGAAGGCCATGGTGTGTGTGGATCATGGTAAACTCACCAAAGCAAGTAATGCCCTTGAGATGGTCCTGCAGAAGCCAATCATTGCTTTCTTTTGTTGATACCCAGTCTTTACTGTATTACATTCAAATTGCATAAATCCATTAATGTCCAAATAAATTTTGTCTTGTTGCTGTGTTAGAGATATATGACTATTCTCTACTAAATTTTGAGTTTGAAGTAAGTATTCCATGAAAATTCTAAATATAATATATTACTAAAATGACTTGCCAAACTGACCTTTTCCCTACAGATGGCCATGTAATCATCACTGTAGTGTGACTGTGGCAGGAAAGGCATGGGCAGGTGAAATTCTAAAAGACTTAGGTTGCCAGTGAGCTACACTTAACTGACAATTTGTTTATGCCACAACTTAACTATTTTCTTGGTCAAAATGGTTTGTGGGGGAGGGATTAAAGATTCACAGGAAAATTGTGTATGCACTATAACAACTGTCAGCCAGAGTTATAAGAAGGAGAATTCTACCTTCTGAATTATAACACAGGAAAAGTACTTTTTTTCTGAGTGCACAGTGTATCTGAAAGCAACATAATAAACATGCCTATAGGTTAGTATATAAAATGATCACATAATTTGTTCAAGTAATAGTTAAAGCTGACAAGTAATTTTGAAAAGGTGTGAAATGGTAGTATTTGATTCTGAACACTGAAATTGGTCCTTGGCCTCAGAAGCAAGGAATCTGGGAAACAAATCATAAATATACAGTGATAATCACTTCTATTCCATAGTTACACCATGAGCAATTAATACATTCTGAGCAAGTACATTAGAAACGCTGTATCTCTCATTGCCGTTTAGAGCTTTTAAACTACTGAAGCAACACAAATATTACAAACAGAAATCACGAACCAAATGTTGAACCAAATGATAACTGGTGCTGAGCATGTCATGGGCCCGAGGCTCAATACTGTGCAGCTGACGCCAGTCTCTGAAATATGCAGTGTAATCTGTATCCGAGTTCAAGTTGCCTTCTGAGGGATTTCCACAATGATCTGAAGATCACAGAAAAGCAATGGAACTAGAATAGCCAGCGCATTTCCAGGATATCTTATTTTTCCAGATACGAAAATTTACTGCGAATTTTTGAGCAGAATGGTGGAGGATAGACGTATTCATTAATGAAATAAAATCAGCAGTGTATACATAGGCTGTCATATCTATAGACGACTTCTGAAAAGGTGCCAAGCAAGGCTGAGAAGTATGGTGTTCTGACCGAATGGTGCCATGACTAGTGGGCATCCACGTACAAAAGAATGAAGCTAAATCCCCAGCTGACACGCATTCAAAACTTAACCTACAATATATCAAAGACATCCATCTAGTGGTTACATTATAAAATTCTTGGGACGAAACAGGAGTAAGTAATTATAAGCTTGAATTATCTATTTTAGATGTTATACAAAAAGAACAAGTGACAACGAAAAATGTGGGTAATTTTTATAATATAATTACATATGTTATTTTTATTAAAAAAGGGATTATTTTAAAGAACACCATCGGGGAGGAAAGTGGTAGTTTGGAGACTTATAGCATTTTCCCATACCTCTGCTGTATTAAAATAAAGTAGGGGTATGTCTAAAGGGAGAGGAGGTGGAATGGAAAGGTACTTGAGTGCAACAATAGAGGCCAGGAAATCCAGAAATATTGGACGTTAGATTTATAAAAGACACAACAGTAGAGGCTAGGTGTGGTGATGGTGCCTCCTCCCCCATCCCAGACAGGGTTTCTCTGTGTAGCCTTGGCAGTCCCGGAACTAGCTCTGTAGACCAGGCTGGCCTCGAACTCACAGAGATCTGCTTGCCTCTGCCTCCTGAGTGCTGGGATTAAAGATGTATGCTGCTGCCACCATCCAGAAACCTTGTCTCAAAACAGCGGGGTGCGGGGGAGTGGGGGAAGGGAGGGCAACCCTGCATTGGCGTTTGGCAACAACCTAGGCAAAAAGGCAAAATGCCCTTCTGTGGGGGCAATGGGGCTGAAAGAAAAGAGGCCCAGTGAACTCCATAGTTCTTGCATTCTGCAAAAAATACACTTGGAAGGAATGGGCCACTGCTGGGTTCTGGTGGTGCACACCTTTAATCCCAGCACTCGGGAGGCAGAGGCAGGTGGATCTCTGCGAGTTCAAGGTCAGCCTGGTCTACAGAGCAAGATCGAGGACAGCCAGGGCTACACCAAGAAACCCTGTCTCAGAAAAGCCAAAAAAAAAAAAAAAAAGGTAAGGTGGGCCTGTGACCTACATAGACATCAAGCTCTAGAGAAGTTCTCTGGAGTTTCAGCTTGCTCACTGGTACAGTGGCACAGAATCACAAAAACAGGTCTTACCACCAAACCTAGGCATCAGAGGTACTTTCATTTATGTGTCTCCAAGTCTCAACAACTTCTCCTCTCTGGCTGAGTCTAAGCTGAGTGTGTGGGCCCCAAGAAACTTGTGACTTGGATGCAGGTTCACACACACAAGGGCGAAGCAGACGTTTTGTCCATTTTGGAACATCTGAGAACCTCTTGGAAGCAGCAAACACAGGGCTGAAACGGGTCTGCACCAGATCCTCTGCATATACAAAGTCAGCACATCTTAATTTTCATAGTAAAAGAATACGAGAAGAAAGAAAACAAAGGTATTTCCATTATATGAATATATACGTATATTTGCTATATGAGGTAATACTCATAACTTACACTTCTCTCTCTAACTACTTATGAAGTTGCAGCTGACATTTGTAACCACCTTCTAATATCTATACTGTTAGCCTTCATCAAGCACAATAGCTGGTCAGAGTTCTTGAACTAGTAAGTTAACCTAAAATACCATTTCTAAACATCTGGGGTATTAGTAGTCCTATTCAGATTGGCCTTTTGTACTTTTACATTGAATTCAATTATAAATCATTTTCCTTAAGGAGCTTCCAATATTACATAAAAATTCTTTCCTACCCAAATTATAGCCTAGCAATCCTCAGTCCCCGAGGATCATTGGCATTAGCCAGGATAATAACTTTTTCACTGTTTTTCACATGTTCAGAGGCATGAGGAACCCAAATTGGATGATTATAATTTCTCTGGCAGATGGCATTCTAGTCCTTTCTCTAGAAACAAAAATCTCTAGGCCAGTAGGATTTAAAAATCATGGGACTAGGAAGGAAAACTTTTATTAAGTGGATCATTACAGGTAACAGTAAGTGCTACTGTTATCATTTCCAGCCCTTTATTTCTGGGCCTGCAGATTCTGACTCAGGGATAATATGACGTCCACAGATTCAGAATGTATGTGGTCTCCTAGAGGACCTCATTTCAGTCCTGCATGTTACTGTCACATAGATGGCTCTGTAACTGAATCTTCAAAAATATTCCATTGTCCTATCAACCATCTGCTACAAGATGGTAAACATGGTATTTAATCTCATTATGAGCCATAAGCTGGGTCCAGAGTCTTAACTTTCTATGTCAGTTCACTGTAGGGCACGCTCCACAAAGCAATAGACTCATTCTGAGAGATAAAATATAGTGTGGTAGGTCTAGGAACCATGAATATTTGGGTGAGTCCCTTGTGTTATTTGCCTGGGCCTTTTAAATCTGCATGAACCTGGTCATGTATATGCTTACTTCCATTTGATGACAGACTGTTACATGTACATACATATTATACTCATTTCATGACAAGAAACTCATCGCATCATAACTTGGTGGCCCATGTTCAGTTTCTATGAATGTAGGCCAAACGCTGTATCTAGAGAGATGCACGGTTACTTTCTTTCAAAGGGCCTCCACTATGGGACATATATAAAAACTTGCCAAAGACTTCAAACAGCATCCTTTTCCATCACAGAGAATTTCATTAAGTGCCATGTTCATTGCGATGAATATGATTCACATAACAGAAGAACTTCCAAAGCAATCTCTGTTTCAAAGCCTTTCTTGTAAGACCCACTTAAAGCTAGCAACTCCTTGGATTATACAAAATAGAAAGATTTATACATTTCGATGAAGAACATTTTGCCTACAACAGCCAAATGAGACCATGAGGCATGTGCCTCTTTCTTGTTTCTTAGAGTAACCAGATGAAATCTCATTCATTCCTGCAAAGGTATCTTGATGTTCATCCCAAATTTGATCTGCTGATACACATTTTAGCCAATCAACTAAACTATTCAGAGTCTCCCCACCCAACTTTATGTTTGCTTTTCCACCTACGCCTTTATACCCTACAACTATAATATCCATTCTTCACAAGTTCTCTGGGTAGTTCTGCTTGAAGAAATTATAGAGCTCTAATAGTTATTTTGTAGTCTATCACACTGCATCACCACTCATACTTTATCTGTCATCTACCTCACTTGTAGAGCCTTCCTATGATTTGGCTATGGGTAACTGTCTAGAAACAAAGATGGGTGATAGGTCTAGGTCTTGAGGAAAAACAGCATTTTCTTGCTTGAGAAGTGACTCAAGAGGGAATATTACAATTTTCTCAAAGGATGGAAGGTCACTTCCCTTAGAAAGAGGTGGAATGGCCAATACTACTGTGGGTAATAAGGCCATTTTAATTGGCAAGGACTCCCTAGAATTTAAGAGGCCAATGCCTTTAGTTTCATTAAGGCCTTCCCACACATACATAGATATGTTTACAGGATCTATTTCTTTCCTGGTCAATGACTTCACTTCCATGTTAGACATTCTCTGAGGCTGAGAGTAAAACTTACTTTCAAATTCCTTCAGTTACAAAATGAAGGCGTGTGCTTCAGCAATTTCAGGCCTGTAGCTTTAGGAGGAAAGTAGCTCCCATGAGACATATCTAGAAACAAATGACCTATGAAGTGCTTAAACCAAACCAGGAATTTGAATCCCTAAGATAGTTCTTTTATTACATCCCCCTTTTTCCAGTGACATTATCAACCAATGTCATTATATCCTTCAGTTTTCCAAAAATATTCAAATCTGTCTTATATGAAGTCACAAAATATTTTTGATAGACCATGAAATGAATTATCTATCCTCTCTGTACTACTAAAAATTGAGTGCCTAACACTTATTTCTTTTCTTTAAATTTTTCTGGTTTTATTTATTTATTTATTTATTTATTTATTTATTTATTTATTTATTTATTTATTCATTTGTTTGTTTGTTTTATGTC